CTTATCCGGGATACTCATCTTCTGTGTTTGTTTACACTGGTTTTCGAAACAGTGCCACCACTCTTGCCTTTTTGTGCAACAGCAGCTGCTCCGGTCACGTGATCCTAGCTCAAATCTTATTGGACGGCCTGTGTTTTCACTTTGCGAAACTGAAAAGATTCGTCGAACTGGTTCGAAAAAAAAACATTTGCATTTTCGGTGCGCGAATGTTCGTGGTCTATGTGGAAGCATCCATAGAAATCTATCATTTTATTCCAGCACGTCATCGCGTCCGATATTCATTTAGCTTTTTCGCGCTCAGTGTGGAAAGGCCTTAAACCTGTACTTTCTGAATAAAGTGATTCTTTTAGATCTGAAAGGACCGTCTAATCTACATGTTAAACCACCCATCACAATTTTCTTGATTTAAGTGACATTTAGGGGTGGGTAATAGACTAAAGTACATTGAAAATGGTATTTCAGCAAATGTGATAAAATCTTTACGTCCGATTATACCCCTCAAACAAAATTGATTAAATTTAAACCATACACTTTTAATTTAAAGCCATGACTGTTTCCGTCAAGCATATCTTTTTGTGAGAATGTTCTGAAATAGTTTTTTTCCCATTCAGCTTTAATGTATACTATTCTTACATTTACTTAATACTGAAACATACTTAGAATTGCAATGGATACATATTACTGTTGCAAGCAGATCTAGAAAAGTGGTGCTGGGGTGGAGGAGGGCTTAAGGCACACAGTACTGAGTTGGACCAGGTTGGGGTGGAAATAAATAAGGTTGCGTAGAAAGGAAAGAGATATTTATTTACTGTGTTGCCAGCTTGAAAGATCCAGTCAGCTACCCAGGAGAGTTTTATGACTGAACTATGCATTAGTTTTAATTCCAAATTAGATAAAAGGTTGTTGTCAGTGTAAAATAACAATAAACTGTAAATAGTTATTATTAGTAGTATATATAATAATACTAGTTATATTCAAAGGGAGCCGCTTTTCCCATTTTAACAGTGCTTTGATTAAATATTGTACAATGTTGTTATGGACTTGTTTGCTGCTTTTATTACTCATCTCTTGTCAAAATGACTGATGTTGCTCCTGCATTTCTGTATTTAACAAGGTTGTAACACCTTAAGCTTTGTTAATTATTCTTTTATTATTTATTTATTTTGCTAAATGGCTTGCAGTGAAATTCACCAGCAAAAAAAATTAATCCGTCTTAAATTGCTCCATGATTGATTTTATATGTTTTTCCCTTGCTGACTAACAATTGATGAATGGAAATCTACATATAGTGCAATTACAGGGCTCTGTCTGATATTTCTCCAAATTCTTATATAGAGCCTTGTTTGAGGGGACAGCCATTTGTAGTGGTGTGCGAAACCATAGTGGACATTACAAAGTGCACTTATTTAATTCAATAATGCACCTCAGTAGCCAGTGCACAACCAATGTACACTCAACAGCTAGTCGCTAAAGAATACCCATGCACTGTCGTTGCATCAAATGAAGTCCTCAATCTCGCCAAAAGATGGCATCTGCATATTCTAGTACTCATCCATGTGATGTATTCTCCACATATTAACCTACCTTTGGGCAGGATGTGGTCTCAGTAGCTTTCCTTCCTTCTCCCATTTGGAAGTAAGAGAATTTCTTTAATGCTCTAGTCTGCAGACAACTGTGGGGGGGAAAAAGAACAGAAAAGATCAAAATGACTACACAGGTTACATGGGGCGTTGGTAAGGTTATGATGTAGCCGGGTTTACTTGTTACCCAGCACAGTTGCTTGCCAACACCTGGTCTATGAGAGCCTCGTAACTCAGTTCAGTGATTGTGACACTTTCCATGGAGACCCTAATGTCAGTAGTTTAACACAACATCAAAGTGACTGACAGATAGGGAAATTCTTGGATAATGTTTTATCCTCCATTCCCTGATGGAGGGAATGAGATGTAGTGTTCCTCCTGCCATAGCACAACACAACAACACAATGTCTTGTTCCCCCAGTCAGGAAATAGAGGTTACATTTGGCATGGAATATATCTGTAAGGCTTTATTGCGAAGAACATGAGTGAGAAAATTATCATTCAAAATGCACAATTTAACTGTTGTTGCCCAAAAAGTGGAACATGGTGGAACCGACAGAGCAGAATCTCAAGGACAATGAAGAAGAAGCCTTTCTTTTGGGGGGGCACAACAGTTTATATGCTTTTACTACGTATCAGTGGTCCGAAACTGTTCTTCAATTTAGCCATTCTGAAAATGAGAGAATGTACAGCCTGACTTAATATAAGGGGCCCATCATGTATCATAGGGGCACATGGTTTAAAGGAGAAATAGTTTTAATTAGAGGAACCATTATTTTGATCAGGTAGGCAATGTTGCCTGCTTTTACTTGCAGTCATGCAAAATTGAACATGAACTTGAAAACTGCAGAGTGTTCCATTTGTCCTTTTAGGTTTCAGAAGTGTTCTCACAAGCGCCCCCTTTGTGTACAAGAGATTATGCATGCCATTTGGGACAGGGTTATAGATTCAAATTTGTATGTGAAAATCTAGTAAAAAATTATTTTCCACATTTTTACTAAATGAACAAAATCATTTTAATTTATATGCAAAAACATCTAGTAATAAACCTAATTAAGAAATATACCTATACAGTACATATATGTGACCCTGGACCACAAAACCAGTCATAAGTAGCACAGGTATATTTGTATTAATAGCCAACAATACACTGTATGGATCAAAATTATCGATTTTTAAAGATCATGTTCCACGAAGATATTTTGTAAATTTCCTACCCTAAATATATCAAAACCTAATTTTTGATTAGTAATATGCATTGCTAAGGACTTCATTTGGACAGCTTTAAAGGCAATTTTCTCAATATTTTTATTTTTGCGCACCCTCAGACTCCAGATCTTCAAATAGTTGTATCTCTTCCAAATATTGTCCTATCCTAACAAACCATACATCAATGGAACACACAAACAAAATGTCAGCTGGAGGCTAGCATGAACATGTTTGAATGATGATGCAAGCAAATAGTTGAATAATGTAGTAATGAATATTTGGACAGTTTCAGATTAGTTTGGAAAATGAACTTTTGAAAATATTTTTATTAATGATGTTTCTGTTTTAATGCTCCCAAAGAGTCATTGAAGTTCCCAGGAGTTTGCATGGAACAGGCTTTTAGCATGGTCTTTAAGAAACTAAACTAGGAAATAATTACAATATTAGTTGCTTATTATGTTTATATCTCCAACAAAATAATATATTGCAAATATTTGATATACAGTATATTTCCATGGCCTAAAAGTTACTGATGATTTATTTTATAAAAAAAATTCTAGCATTTGACAATTAATCAGGCAGACAGTGTCAAAATAATCACATGTATTACAAAAAGTACAGATTTTACAGTTCTTTTCTAATACCCAGAAAAAAAAAACCTAATTGCAAAATCTTTTTTTAAAAAGGGAATGTACTCTTACTAAAAACAAAGAGGAATTTAAACTCTTCTGACTTTTCTATTCTAAATGGAAATGGATCTATGCCATCTATGCTCTCTTTTCTCACTGCTGCTATTGGATGACAGTAAGCTCCACCTCCCTACTGCCCCGCCCCCTCTGAATGAGGGTGAGAGTTTGGTTAGCCGCATTCTGCAACTGGGCCCACCAGGGACAAAATTTCTGGGGTAGGAGTGACACATAAAACAACGAATGGATGCCAGTCCCACACCCCACTTTCTCCTTTCACACTATCTTCCTTTTTAACTGTGTTGTATTTGGTTGTATTCTGCTTTCATTGTAAAGTGTCTCTGTATAGTAGTGTATGGTACCATATGTGCACCTTAGTGTCATTTAAATTTTTTTTTTTCATTTTAGTCTTGATTACTCATGATTGTTTCCAAACTTGTTGAAACTGAATAACAAATTGTGGATATACTTATATACTTCGCTATCAAAATTTCACAGGTTTGGGAATTCATGATCAAAACATTCTCAAATCATACTATTTGTAGTGATTGTCATGCTATTAGTGTGTTGTTCTAAATCACGTGTTTCCTTTAGCTACTTTAGATGAATGTTTGTACCCAGCTTTTTGTGCTCATCCTTTTTTTTTTTTTGCCATTTGCTGAGCTACTTTTGTTGCAGCATGAATTTCAGTGGTTGTGTGCATTTTTAGGTATCAACATAATATGAATATTGTTATATGTGGCAGGTACGTTGTAGTATATTTGTGAAAGTTTTCACTCATTTAGGCCATAGTCTAGTAGGTATGTCCAGTAGAATTTTAATCAAGTATTAAGACTTACATCAAGAAATATCTGGGCATATCAAGGTGTTTCAGCACTGAAGTTAAAATGAATTGAAAGCCAAGTCCAGTTGCTTTTCATAAACTTTCTTTTGTTCTTTTTGTGTTAGTTTTTAAACAGTCTAATGAAAATAAAAATACAATATAATACACATTATTTATGTATAGCCTACATTATATAAACTTTACTGGATCCAGTTGCTTTTAATCGTTGCGGTTACCATTACTGAACTAGAGAAAATAAATGTAATAGGAAATTTCTCATTCCCGTTTCTGAATATTATTATACCAATTGCATTACATTAAAACAGCAAGCCTCTCAAGGTCATTTGTTACAGTGATTTCAGAGCTAAATTTATTAGCATAACTGTAGATAATATGGTAGATATATAGACTTTGTACATAAATATAGAATTCAAAACACATAAACACACACACTTACACGTGTTTTTATGAATAACATTCTTTAACTTCCTGCTGGGTGTTAGGCCGGTGATTGTGGAGATCCCTCACTTTGCGGCTCTAAGAGGAAAAGAGAGGGAGCTGGTGATCTTACGCAGTGAAACGGGAGAGAGTTGGAAAGAGCATCATTGTGAGTACACAGAAGAAGAGCTCAACCAGATCCTCAACGGCATGGATGAGGGTAAGAAAAAAACACATCATCTGCATATAAGCATGAATATGACCAATACAAATGATAACCTTCCTTCTTTCTAACATAGTCATGCAGGTCTGCACAAATGAATGGTCCCTTTCTCATTGGCTGCTCTATACATTATGTACAAATTATTATTATTTTTTTAGGGCTGGACCCACCAGAAGAGTTGGAGAAAAAGCGAATCTGTCGCATTATCACTCGGGACTTTCCACAGTATTTTGCTGTGGTGTCACGAATTAAGCAGGACAGTAATCTCATTGGTCCAGAAGGTGGTATTCTGAGTAGCACAGTGGTCCCTCAAGTACAGGCTGTCTTCCCAGAGGGAGCTCTCACTAAACGCATCCGTGTTGGCCTGCAGGTAGCATGGAGATTAAATAAAAAATATTATAATGTAGAATCATAGTGCACACAGCTGTATTTTAGTTTAATTTAATTTATTTTTATTGGTCAGTTATTCTGTTCATTTAGCTATAACATTATAATAATGTTATTGCTATAATAATGTTAAAACAGTAATCTTTTTGTATCCCTTTAATGTGTCACAATATTTTGTTCAATTTCTGCTAGTTTAAGCTTGATTTTAGTAATCAGTAATTCAATTCAAAGAAGTAGAAATAGTACAATGTACTTTCAGTGTGCCACTGTCTTTTTGATTTTACTTAAAAGTTTAAGATGAAAGTTAAACTTCTCAAATTTACATAATAGTTCTTTTTAATAACATTTTTAGTGCTTTCTTATGTCCTTGAGCTGATTTGCTATCACAGGCATTCTGTTGGTAACAGTCACAATATTTAAATACATTTTGAACAAATTACAATGAGATACAATGTGTTACTTTGCATTATTAATTTGCTCTGAACCTATCGTTATGATAGTTGTATTTATTATTGCATTTGCTTTTTGGCCAGGCTCAACCAATGAGTATTGATGTAGTGAGGAAGAATTTGGGTAATAAAGCCACATTCAGCCCTATAGTCACTCTGGAACCACGGAGGAGGAAATTCCATAAGCCCATAACCATGACCATCCCTGTCCCGAAGAGCTCCGCTGACCCAATCCTTGGCGGCTTTGGAGGTGGAGATACTCCTACATTACGTTTGCTATGCAGCATCACAGGTGAGAAAGTACACAGGAATATACAGAAACCAAACAAAATGCTCTTCATTCTGTAGGTAGCACAATATGCATTAAAGGCGTATAAAAGGTTAAGTGTAACACTGTAACACTACAACTAGTGGAATAGGTTAAGTCATGTAGAGCCTATAATAATCTACTTGCACTGAGCTTAATGATGTACTTCTGATTTTAAATAAAAAGACTTACCATTTTCTGGCTATATATGTTTATAATATGCCATTGTTGTTGTAGTTCCTGAATCTTCACTTAAAAATTACTGTTTGGGAGAAGATTTTACATTTTTACAGAGGAGAAGACGTCTTTAAAAATTACATGATGTAAAAAATAAATATAAGAAGACAAATGAGAGACCAAAAAAAATCAAGAAAACCATTAAAAATCTTTTGAAAATACCATAAACATTGTTACTAAATTTATAAACATATTTGAATTTTGTAACCAAAGACCATTTTTGCATGTTTAGGTGGGACCACTCCTGCTCAATGGGAGGATATCACTGGGACTACACCATTAACATTCACCAATGACTGTGTGTCTTTCACCACAAATGTGTCTGCCAGGTATTTTCTCTGCAAGCATTGCCTGGTAGAGCATTACTCAATTTATGTTAAATGCCAACCTGGTCTCATGGCAAAAACGTATCCGGGGGCACATTTTCGCGAGACGCGAAATACTAACCAATAAGTACATATCACTGCAGTTTCCAAAAGAAATGAACACTAGAGGCAGTAAAACTCCGACACCTTTTATTCCTTTTCACTCACATTTACAGTTTCGATTAATAAAGTGTAATTTTCGCACAATTACTTGAAGAATATCATGTTATGACTTCAAAACAATTTTAATATGCTGGGAGATTTGAAAACGAATTCTTTTGAATGTTAACATCACACATATCCAGCTTCATATCTATGGGTTTTCATAGCCGGTAGGTTTGTTTGGTAGCTCACGGAGTACGGAGACGTACTTGAGAGGTGAGGAGCTCCGGTTCGAATTCCGTGTAACTACGGTTCGACAAAACGGTTCAAATCTGCATATAAGTAAGTTCAAATGACACGGTTGCATCAACAAATGCGTTTTTATATCAGTTTTGCATTTGTTAACACTATCGGGTAGGTTTAGGGTTGGGTTTGGTGTAGGGCATATTTCCAACACGACAGAGCATTAACTTTTAGCGACAGTCTGATATTTGAATTCTGAACCGCCGCAATACGTACCTGAAGCAACGTAATAAAAACACAGCAATACGTACCTATATCAGCGTAATAAAAACGTGCCAGGGTTCACGTATTGAACCCGTGTTTTAGCGCCACTCAGTGGACATTTCTCTTTGAAACTGCGGCGAAACGTGCAGTAAGGTACGTAAAAACTGTGTTGCAGAAAAGTACCCAGAGGTACGTATTTTTATGAGACTGGGTTGTTAAATGCATATATACTATTATGTCTTTTTGATTGGAAAAGATGAAACAAGTTTATTCCTGGTTTTTGAATTACAAATTTTCCCATTCTAACCACCAATCCTCAGTGAAGCCCACAAACAAACAAACAATAAATAAACAAATGAATTAATTAATGAAATAATGAATTAAAATAAGCACCAATATCTCCCATATTTTCTTCATCAGATTCTGGCTTATAGACTGCAGGCAGGTTCAGGAGTCGGTGAACTTCGCCACTCAGGTGTATCGTGAAATCATCTGTGTACCTTACATGGCCAAATTCGTCATCTTTGCCAAAACACATGACCCTATTGAGGCTCGATTGCGCTGTTTCTGTATGACTGATGATAAAATGGACAAAACTTTGGAGCAGCAAGAGAACTTCACAGAAGTGGCACGTAGCCGAGATGTGGAGGTGAGTCATGGGTATTGCTACACTGGATTCTTTTTAATATACTTCAGTGCAGCCCAGTCAGATATTTTTCAGTATTGTATTGTCTCGGTTACGTATGTTAACCCTCGTTCCCTGAAGGAGGGAACGGAGACGTCACGTCGGATGACCGACGAAATTGGGATCTCGCTTAGAGAGACCACTCTACTTCGAGTGTAAACTAAACGAGCCAATGCACATTGGCATGCGATTATTGCATCCAGCTGCCGCTGATCACAGCGTGAGTATAAGTAGGCAGCAGATGCAGCGCATATTCAGGTTTTCGCTGAGGAGCCGACCCGGTGACCCGGCCGCTCAGCGGTGGTACAGGAGCTGTGGCGACGGGACGTGACGTCTCCGTTCCCTCCTTCAGGGAACGAGGGTTACCATACGTAACCGAGACGATTTTCATCCGCTTTTGAGCTGAATTCTGACTCGTGC